AACAAGTGTGGACTTAGAAGAGGATTACTGACTTGAAAGCTGTCTTCCCAGTGCCCCAGGTAGACATTACCTAAGACTTCAAGACCAATCTGCTCTCAGAGTAGTTCAGCCAATAATGGTTGGTGGGGCTCTTCAGTGTCATGCATAGGGATTTATCACTGTGCCCAGCGCTATCTGCTTGGCTTACTGCACCTACCTTTGCATTCTTGAACAGCAAGGGCTCAGAAGAAATGACTACATTCCCACCAAATACCCTCCAGCTTGCTGATGGGGACTCTAACCACACGCTGTGAATGGTGATGGTGAACTCACATCTCTGCTCCAAGCCCAGAAGCACATTTGTGAAGTGCAATCAAAGAAAGCATCTCACTGTCCCCAGATACACATGCAAATACAATCATAGAATCCCAGACTGGTTTGAGTGGGAAGTGGACTTTAAAGCTGCTCCAGCTCCAACCCCTGCCACGGACAGGGACACCTTCCACTAGAGCAGCTTGCTCCAAGCCCCTGTGTCCAACCTGGCCTTGAGCACTGCCAGGGATGGGGCAGCCACAGCTTCTCTGGGCACCCTGTGCCAGCGCCTCAGCACCCTCACAGGGAAGAGCTTCTGCCTTATCTCCAGCCCAAACTTCCCCTATTTCAGTCTGAACCCATCACCCCTTGTCCTATCACTACAGTCCCTGATGAAGAGTCCCTCTCCAGCATCCTTGTAGTCCCCTTCAGACACTGGAAGCTGCTCTGATGTCTCCACACAGCTTCTTTTCTCCAGGCTGAACAGCCCCAGTGTTCTGAGCCTGTCTCCACACAGGACGTGCTCCAGCCCTGAGCATCCTCATGGCCTCCTCTGGGCTCCGTCCAACAGCTCTTTTAAATGCTTAAAGATGAAATAAAGCCAGAATTACCCAAGCTGACCCAATACCCAAACATTTGACTATCAATCACAGCTATTGCAAGTTTGGATCCTGTATGAGGATTTTGAACACAGCAATAATAGAAAGCAAGGTGAGAGGAGAGAGGGTCATACTTGTTCTTGTTATCACCCTGAAGGACTTTTCAGGGCAAATATTCTCCAGGCAGTTTTCATTAAACCACCAACTTGTCAATTTAGCTTAAAAATATATAGATGTATTTCCAAGTAATTGCCTTAACCAGGCAGATATTGGAAAGAGTGCTTTAACCCTTTCACAGCACTTAAGTCTACTTGAAATGCTATGAAAGGGGGAAGTTAAATACAAAGATAAATGCATAAATGGCCAGAGTTGCTATGGAAATGTAAGAGGATGGAAATGGAAAGTCAATAGAGGACTAAGTTACTGTTCAATTTTAAAAATAGTCTTTCTATACGGAAATGGAACATTTGTCAAATCTCTGTTGGCCTGTATTATACAAAATGAGAAGTGGTTTTGTGGCTGGGAACATCTATTTAATGCTGCACACTCAATCTGCAAACTGGATGGTCAATGGTACAGAGTAAGTGGAAGCTTTACTCCTGTTAATGACAATCTCCATCACACCTACAGAGCCCTGGTGATAAATGTCAGCCCTGAAAAGCACAGGGATGGGGGTCAAATTCAGTGGGATATAATGATAAATCATTTGTAGGGATTTCAGATCAGGTCTGTTTCTTTCTTGCACACAGTGTCCCAAGGAAACAGGGTTTATGTGATCAGGCTCGCTGGCCCATAGGCACTGCGTGGTAACTTCCTAAACCCGCTGGCCTGCAATCAGATTTGATGCAAGAAGAGACATCTCAGAGGAATTAAGTTCTAACAAGCTTTATAAGGGAGAATATACTCTAATTAGCGCTTCTTTCCATCATCTTTCCACTTCCCATCTCACTCCTAGGATGTGATATGAGCTCAGCCACTCTACCAGACACCAGAGAACCCACATAGGAGGCTTCCTATGTTCCACCACTTGCAAAGCAACTTGTTTTATTAAGATAAATGTAATACCCTTCTCTGGTTCCATTCAGAGAGGAAGAGTGAATTATGTTTGAACAGCATTGAACTCCATCTGTGAGCAGCATATCAAGTGGAAAGTGGGGCTCTGCTTCAAACCATCCATACTTATATTGCCTCTCCATTGCCAGGTACTAATGGGAATTTTCAGTGGATTTATTCCCCTGCAAAATGTCCAGTGAAATTTGGGCATTGGCCACCCAAAAATCACAGCTCATTGTGTGCCACATCCCAAGGGCATCACTCTTTTAGCCCCTTGGCGTTGGCCTTTTGGCAGTGGCTTTTCCCCACCTCTTAACCTGTGCTGCCCAGAAGCTGCAGGCAACAGATTTGACACACAGCCCTGGATGGGAGAGCAGAGCATCACAGGGACACACTCCTGCCCAGGCTCCCCATCAAAAGGACCCTTGTATCCCCATCAAACTGACCCTTGTATCCCTCCCATGTGTAACCAAAGCATGTAAGTCACACACATCAAGGTTCCAGTGCCTTGCTGGTTTAGGTACAGCAAACCTAAGAATCAACAGCTATAGAAGATGCTGAAGCTCAGCTTTCCAATGTGAAAAGCTGGCACCAGCTTTAGACTTGGCAAAATAATCCTACCACTTCCTTTTCCTCCCAAGTCTGGCTCCATCCTCTTCTGCAAGGTGGTTTGAAAGCAATCCACGGCACCAGCAGGATTCTCACCAGCCCCAGCTCCCAGCCCGTTGGGGAAAGGTCTTTAGAAACAGTTCCATGCTTCTGGGTGGGATTTTCTGCTGCAGGTGCTCTGCAATATAGAGCGAGATTAGATTCTAATCATAGCTCCTTCTTAAAGGGAAGGGTTCAGGGTTTAGCTGTGTGGCAGCAGCCTCATTTTCACAGCAATATCTGTTATGTTCTGCGGGTGCCAGGGGGACACATATTGCTGTCATTTCCCCTCGTTGTGTTTGGATATCAGATGCAAAGAGCAGCAATGAGCACACAGCTATCACCATTCCTCACACTGAGCAGTCCCTTCGGTGGCCTGGTCCATCTGATGCTCAGCTCCAGTGACAACCGAGGAGCTTTAGGGCATCTTGTCCCATGGGAAAAGGGGTCCCTGGCCTGGTGGGTCTCTCCCCTGGGCTAGAGAGGTGGGCAAAGAGGGTTCCCCATCCAAACAAGGGCTAGGCAGAGAAATGGGGTGTATTTCCCCAGCACACACATGCCACCACGTGTCACACGCTCACTGACGTGGCTCTGTGCTCACCGCTGTCTCATCCCCACCACAGCCCCATGCTGCCTCACTGAGAATTACCCACACCAGAAGACAAATGTTTTTCCCCCAAATTAGTCAAAACCACCAAGTTTCTCTTCCAGCAGCTGCCACCACCCTGCTTGAGGTGTACAACCTGCTTGGCATGGGAGCGCTCACCTTTAGCTGCCCACCTCACCAGGGTACCACAGATGCTGGTGCTGAATGGGCTGAGCACCTTCTGCTAGGTCCCTCCAGGACAGAGCTGTCAGTCTCCAGGAGAAGGTCCCTCAGCATCAATGGAGCCTGGCAACGTGGGGTGATTTGTGACAAGGCCTCCCACATGTGCCAACCATCTCCTGAGGTTCCTGTGACTGAAGTGCATGTGGGAATGGCGTCACCACCACACGGCACAGGCAGCAGCACCTTCTCCTTGTGTTTCCCTCTTTGTTTGGCACCATCTCCACTGAGCGATGCCCACAGCCTGCTGCCAGCTCACAGAGTTTCAGCTGTGGTAGCTCTGTGGTAGTGCTGCCTTCTCCATTTCTCCACTGCTGTGCTTTAATAGGTTGAGTTTGGACACTTACAGCAGGCACAAAACATCACCAGCTTATTTACAGTTGAAGAATGTTTTCTCAATGGAGGTCCAAGCCAAAACACCACCCCAAGGACTCTCACCACCATGAACAAACCCTGGGAAAGCTTGAGAAGGGATGCAGTTCAGCCCAACATTCATCTCCTTTGCTTTGCTGTTGTTCCTTCCTCTCCTATGTATAGTTCCTTCCTAAGCCCCAGATTTTGTGAAGATGCTTCATTTTTAGCCTTGTGCTGCAAATATTAAAACAACTGGGTTTGCTTTAAGGACATGGCATTAGCCTGGGTGCATGTGACCCAACAGGCTGGGATGGCTTAAGGGAGGATGCCTGGACCCCCTCCATGTCACCCTTAAGTTGGTTAGCTGGGTACCCAACCTGCAGCATCCAGCCAGCATCTCCTCAGGATAATACAGGTGGATTTGCCAGGATCTCATAGGAAAGTGTGATAAAACCGTGGTGAGAGCAGTGACATCCATCACCTACGCTGCAGCAGCCACCACTTCACCCTTGAGAGGAAGCTTTTGAAACAGAGATTATCTCTACATAACTCCACCTTCACATCACCCCATACCCACAGCCTGAAAACCACCGATGACAGCAAAGTCACCCCAGTGTGACCATGTTGCTGTGACATCCCCTTAGATGCATGCTTCCACATACACAGATGCACGACAGGGCTGGCAAACCCTGCCTCGGCGCTGTTCTCTGCTTACCAGCAGCGAAGCTATTAAGCCCCCTTTGCAGCCCCATATGCATTCACTTCATGCCTTGCATTCCTGACAGCCCTAGTAAATTCTTGCTGAAAAGAGAATAAAACCCTTGTTTTCCCTTCCCTATGAGCTCCTGCTTCTTGTTCAATGCCATTAAAAGCAGAACCCACACTAACATCAGTCCTTGCTGAAGGTTGAAACCACCTTGCCTGTACTCCTCGTGTGGCACTGGAGGGAAGAGAAGGAAAAGAAAGTGAGCAGAAAACCAGACACTTCCTTCCACTCCTCTGTCAGCTCCACTTTGCATCAAAATCTCCTTTGTATGTCACACAGTTATTAAAGTTGTAGATGGTGGCTCTGTGCAGTGTGGCTGTGCCTGTGTCTTAGAAACTGGGTCACCCGGAGAGCGCTCCCTGAAAACCGTGCCCTGATAAATCCATGCTGGCAAGACTCAAAGATACCCCTTATAATGTTTTCCTGCCTCCCCTTGTGCTTTGAAAGGAGCAAATAATGCTACTTTTTGTTGTGGGGTTTGTATCTTTTATTCAGCAGCTTCCCGAGGTAAATAACCTCCGGCAGGCAAATCTAAGGGGATGCTCCTATCTCGCTTGCTGTCTGCTTACACTGAAATCATGATATCCTTTGCTTTCATGAAGCTCTTTATAAATATTCCCTATTTTTCCAAGTGGAGCTGTTACCAAGGAGGGCAAGCAACTCCCTAGATTTGGCTCAGGCTTCAGTTCCAGCTTCTTACCGTCCTTCTCTCCTCATCACAGCTGCAGGGATGCAGGAGAGAAACCTGTCCATTATGCAGGGTACTGCTATTGACATCAGAGCAGAGGCTGCTTTCCAGCCAGGGCACCCTCTAGCACACAGGCATCCTTATATTGCTATCAAGCCTCTAGATAACACAGCTCAGGCAGTTTCTGAATGAGGCTGAGGGGTGAATCCTGTCACCCACCTGCCCTCAATGGGGCAGCAAGAGGTGGGGGGAAACCAACAGAGCATAGAACGGGGCTGGCCCAGCTCAGCAATGGGCAAGAAATGAGCCATGAGAGGGGCAAGCAGCAGGGAACTGAAACTTGCTGACTGTGCAGGACAGAAAGATGTGGGGCACGTGTCAGAGAGGGTGAAGATGGGAGTTTTCTTATTAAAAACAGTTCTGTTTAATACTTGTGGTGTCAATGAAGGGATGGCAGAAGCACACACCTCAGCTTTGCTGCTAAGGCAGAATGGCAAAGAGAGTCCTGGGGGCCAAATATGGATTTTTCCTGTGCTACTGTCAGTATGTTTATATCCCTTATATCATAGAATCCCAGACTGGTTTGTGCTGGAAAGGACCTTAAAGCTCATCCAGCTCCAACCCCTGCCACAGGCAGGGACACCTTCCACTAGAGCAGCTTGCTCCAAACCCGTGTCCAATCTGGCCTTGAACACTGCCAGGGATGGGGCAGCCACAGCTTCTCTGGGCAGCTCTTTAAGTGAATCTTAAGAGACTGTGAGCAGGAGCAGTGATAGGAAAGGGGTTGGAAGGACCTGGCTCAGGCACACGTTTGCTGGCATGGGGAGAGCTGTGGAAAAGGATTTCAGAATCCCAATATAGGGAAATGGAGTTGAGGAACAGAAAGCGTAGCTTTCACCAGCTCTGATCTAGACTCCACCTACCTCTCGGTGCTTCACCCCAGTAAATCACAGTGTGCAGGCTGTGAGCCCCATTTTACCAACGGAGAAAACAAGGCAGGCAAAGACAACAGGTAGCATCTGAGGGGGCTCAGCAGCAGCCAAAGGCAAGCAGGGATGGTAGCATCCCCTTCCCAGCACACTGCACTGCCTGGGAAACAGAGGGATTGCACCTTGGCGACAGAGGAGGGGGGACAGGATCCCACCAGATCCATCCCTGAGACTTAGCCCATGAAGGAGGAAGGGAGAGCAGCATTCAGGCATCACCTTGTGAATCCCAGAGCACGGGAGCATCCCAGTGTTCCCACATCAGGCAAGTTTGGGTTTGCTTTGGTTGTGTTAAACTGGGCCAGGCTGTAGGAAGAGGAGATGGGGAAACAGTCACCTCAAGCCTCCTCCGTGTCCTCTGCCTAATGTATTCAGCAGTGGGTTTAGGGGATCTCAGGAGAATGAGTTGTCAGAGCGTCAGAAGCAAGCGATGGCAAGGGAATTACTGCTAATCCTTCTTGTGGGATCCAACACTCGGAAGGATTTAAACACTGGCTCAAAAACGTTTGAAGACATAAAAAAGGACACCTTTCCCTTCTTTCATACATTTTGGGTTGGTCACTTGCTGCTGGCTGAGAAAGGAAAGAGGAACTTTGAGGAGAAGGAAAGGATGAGGATGGGGAGAAGAAAAGGAAAAGGCTCGAGATTAGATCTGGAGGGAGCCTATCACCCTCTCTGGAGGTGTAAGCTGCAATTAAATCTCTTTTGCCTAACAGTACCTTATTGTTATTTGCACAGTGCTCAAGATGTGGCAATAGGGGAGGAAGGAGCAGGCAGGAGGCTGCTGTTCTCTTAATGCTGCAGTGTCTGAAACCCTCTGGCTGAAGGCAGCCCTAGAGCAAGGGGATGCTTTGCCTCAGCCCAGCGTCTGCCCCACCACCAGTCGTGAATGGTCCTTTACCTTCACCCCTCTCCTCAATGCACCTCAGCTGTGGTTCAGCAAACCGTGCTGTTTTCATTCCTTTTCCTTGATTTCCAAGGCTCTTCCCAGAGCTGTCCTCATTTATGCAGTGTGTGCCTCTCAGGTCCAGGCTGGTGGATTATTGACTTTGCCCTCTCCATGCCCTTGAAGCTGAGGAAGGAGAGTGCTACAGGCAGATGGGCTCTTCTTCATGCTTTGCTGTCATTCGTCCCAATCCTCAGCCTGAGCCACGATGGCAAAGAACAACTTGTTAAGGAATTGCTTCTTTCCTACCAGGTTCAATTGCTCTCCGTCTCAGGCTGCTCATATTGATCGACTGCACCCACTCAAGGCGTTGTGTAAAAAGCACTTAATGAAGTTCATTCTGGGCATTCTTCAGTGGTTTTTCCTCCTGAAGTGCATGGATACAGCCTTTCAGAGGGTCATGGAGCTTGAATTTTGTAGCAGTTCTGCTTTTCATTAAGGCACAATAATGAAGAATCATGAGTTTTCCCACAAGAGCTGTGGTTTTAAATCTGGGTGGCTGAGAACATTCGTACATTCTGTATTTGCATTGGGAGGTTGGTCAGATTTAATAAATAGAGATTTCACATTGAAAAGAGAAACAACAGCAGAAGCCTGAACAAACACTGGTTTAAATGATGCAGTGGAGCAATAACATTTAGTTGAACCCCTTTTATTCCAACCCCTCTGAAATAGTACAAAAAAAATCACTGTTTCCACACAAAGTGCCTGTTCCAAGATGCAAGCCCATGAGATACTAAAGCAGAAACCCTGCTATGACAATTTCTATTCCATACGTTCGTTCTGCTACCTCATTAAATTACAGAAGCCACCTACAAAAGAGCGTTTCCCAAAGGACAAACACTCTTCCAGGAACGTTTCAACCTGCTCCTGTCAAGTAGCAGTTGGGCCAGAGAAACCAGCTGCTGCTTCTTGTTTTGTTGGGTTTTGAACTGACACTGGAAGCCTGTGCTGGTACTTGGGGAGGCCGAGGGAGCATCCAGGCTGCTGCAGCCAGGCAGATGCAGGCAGGCATCAATGCAACTGCCTTAATGTCTGTGTGTGAGGCCACAAATGCAACCATGCTAATGAGGGCTTGCTCCCTTCAGAGCCCTCCTTCCAAGCCGCATCTTGGTGATGATGCCAGCACATGGGGCATCACAACGACCTGGTGTGAGACTGATGCAAGACTGGAGCTTCAGCTGCACGGGCATTTTGCATGGCTTAAATTAAGCACAGAGTGAAATCAGGGCACATCCCCATTACAGATCATATGAAATAGCCAGGGTGCAGCAGCCCTTTGGAGCTTCATCTCCATCTGGTTTTATGACCTGGGTAAAACAGATGCTTTTTAACTGGGTAACTGGAATTAATAACTGGAAATAACTGGTTCAGCTATTTACATGAGAGATGAATGAATGCAGACCTGCATGGATGCTTGGGTAACCTGCTCATTTATTCATCCAAATGAGTAAATCACATCAGAACTACCTGTTCACAGGGAGCATTTTCAAATAACAATGTACACCAACATGGCTGGGACTTGAGACTGCTCAGAGTTTTCCTTTGGAATTTTACTTCTGTAATGAAGGCAAACAGGTATGTGTTTCTGAAATACAATGTTTTCATGTTCATAGTATTTGGGAAAGCTGTTTTGAGTCTTCCAAAACCAAATCTGCTTTTTCTCTGCTGGATAAAAGGTGAAAATATACTTGTTCCCACAGGCTTTTCCCTCCTATACTCATAAACCAACATGTATGGAAGAGGGGCACTGCCGGGGTAATGGCCTCCTCCTCTGAGAGTGGGAGCATCACCCCATCTCTCCTCCTAAAGTTGCTTTTGCTATTCAACAAACACTCTCTTTTTAAACAATACTGCCTTAAACCCTTATTATAATGCCCAGAGCCACTTGCAGGCTTTCTGAAAGTCATTATTACAATTGCAATCAAGAAGCATGGCACTCTGTGCTTTGTGCCACAAATACATAGACACTGAATTGTTTACCGAGGGAAAGAGTGAGCTTCAATGCTGCTTAATTCAGGAGCAGGAACTCCCACCCTATTGAATTTTACCTCTTTTGTTTCCCAAATTAACTTGTAGCTGCTGAAACCCAGGCCAACATTTGCCTTGTCCTCCATGCTCTCCTTTGGCCTCAATCCAGGGAATCTCAAGCTGTGCCCTGGTTTACTGCACCCCTTCCCCAGCACCAGCAGCCTCTGCCCCTGGGTGAGGAGGCAGGATGATGGTGATGCTGGCAAGATGCAGTGCTCAGGACCAGGAGCATCACTGCACCTTGGGAATTGCTACAACGGAGCTTAGCAGACGCAAACCAAACTCACTGTGAATGAATGCAGCACGGAGCTTAGTTTTATTAAAGCTTCATCTTATGGGTCACAAGAAACCTTAGAGAGGGCTGTGGGGTATTTGGTAGTGTTATCTGACACAGCACAGAGGGAACTGTGACTCAGATTTTGCCAGCACCAGCCCTGGAAGCAGTTCTTCCTCTACCTCAAACAGTGTCTGATGTTGATCTCGCTCATCACTGGCATCCAGGGAGATGTTGCTGACTCGTCCTTTGAAAAGTGAGATGGATCAGGCCCTTCCTTCTGAATAAATATCAGATCTGATTCAGCACTCAATTGCTTCTGTTTTATCTCTGTGGAACATCATTGATTATAGAAGGATTTGCAAGTTTTAAACTAGAGTAATTCAGTGATTAATCCCAACCAAAGCCTTTTGTAAATAGAGAGCGATGCTCCAGCACTATTCAATATTCCACACATCAATGGAGTGCTCTGTAATATGATTCAATGGCATTTAGACTTGCCTTCCCTTTATTCAGGGCAGTGCTGGGCTACATTTAGTTTAGCTAAGCCAGGCTTTTCTGCTCTATCTCTTCTCCCTGGGAAATGTCAGGCACGTTCTCTGTGAAACAAAGGCAAACCTCTCCCATCTAGTGACTGTTCTGTTTAAGGCAGCAGCTCAGGGAAGGGCTGACCACACATGCTGAGATGCCCACCAGGACCACAGCAGAATGGGGAGGAAGGAAGAGGTACTCTCAGCCTCATGGCAGGGTCTGAACATACCTAAAGTCCATGGGCTTGAGGCTCCTACAGCTCCTTCCAACAGTGGTTTAAAGCTGATTCAGAGAGTAGAAAAGCTTATTCTGGAACTGGCTGGCTGTAAACATCAACCCATTTTGCTCAGGCTCAATCTTGCTTATACAGGGCAGTCCCATGTAGTATATCCAGAACACTGGATGAGGAGAAGCAGTTGGAGCAAAGAAATACCTTGATTTTAAAGTTTTTCTACTCCTTCTTCTGGTCCACTGATTTTTGGTTCCCACAAGAAACCTCAAACCACTCTCTCAAATGCTGTATGATCTGAATATAAATTAGAGCTTCAGGTGACTGAAATATTTGGGGGTTTCAACATTTGGTTTTGGTCTAAAGAAAACTGAAATAAACCTGTTGGGGGAATTTTACCACCAAGAGCAACTTCCCCCCCCACTGATGCCATAGTTGTTCAGCATCACTGAGGAGCTGCTGTAAGCTGGTGGGTGGCTGTAGGACATCCCATTTCCCTCTATGGGGGTTTTCCCCTGGGTCATGGTGCCAAAGGACGCAGACCCAAGGCTTTCAGGATTCAAACCTTGTTTCTGTTTCCCACCACTTTAAGAGCCAAGCATCCTGAACCTTTGCTCTCCCCTGAGATCCTAAGCAACAGATCCTGAAGTTCCACTGAGTAAATGGCCCCAGGCCCCAAACCCAGTTTCAGAGACAGACAAATAACAGTAAGAGCAGTCCATCCATTCACCAACCCACCAGACCTGCATGGATTGCTGGACCACCTTTGGCTGACATTCATGGAGCTCAGGCATGTGCAGCTCTTCCAATTCTTGTCACTCCTTAGCTTCCAAGTTCCCTTGAGAAAGGGTGACCAGCACAGCAGGTATTTCTGTAGTGCTTCCACAGTGCCTCCATCCTCTTGCTCTGACTGAACAGCCACAGAAGAACCATCTTCTGAGCCATCAGCCAAGGCCATGATGGGAAACAGGAGAGAAGTGATCTCCCTTTCTCTTCACATGAGCTTTACCTGCTCGTGATTCCAGTTTTTGCCTTCTAGCAGGGCTCCTGTCAGCTGCCTCCAGAAGATGTGCTTGCTTATCTCCTTGTTTTTCCACTCCAGATAAGTGTTCCTTCTTAGGTATCGGGAAAGCCCCAGCCTCTGCCTTAGCAAAGCCTTATTCACTTCTTCTAGTACAATCATGATGATCCCAGCCTTTCCTTCAACCAGCTGCCAGGACTGGGCAATGTCAAACTCAAAGCTACACCATTTACTTTCCAGGAAGTCGGTGGAGATGACTGCAATAACATTTCTGCTACTCAGGAAACCTTCCTGGATGATATTGGTGACGATGGGAACCCCTGGTAGGAAATCCCTGTAGTAAAGACAAAGATGGAAGGGAGGTGTTCCTTCTTCCAAGGGTTCCACCAGCTCTTTCATCACCCATTCTTGGTCTTTGCTGGAGTGGATGACAAATGCATCATAGGTGTCACCTCTTTCTGCAGAGTGCTTACACCCACTGAGCAGCACCAATGAGTAGTAGAGCTGGAAGTAGTACTTGTAAATCAGGAAGAGGAACACCACTGCAGCGAGCAACATGGTCACTGAGGATGCCACTGTGCCTACATGGAGCTGGCAGGAGGACAAATCAAAGCTTGGCAAGGTCACATTCTTCACATATGCAGGTGTATGGCATATCATGGACTCCTTGTTCTGCAGCAGCTCCTGCTTTTCCTTGATCCATTTCAGGAAGTTCTCATACACACAAGAGCAATCAAAGAGGTTTTGAGAGATGTCCAACAGGACCAGGCTGTCAGGCAGGATTTCCAGGGCTGAGTCCAAGAGAACACTCAGCTGGTTGCTGCTGAAATCCAGGGCTGTGAGGGCTTGCAGGGGCTTGTAGACCATAGGATCAAAGCTCAGTAACTTATTGTTGCTGATGTTTAGCTCTTTGAGTTCAGAGAGGGCATCAAACGTACTTTGGTCCACATGCACCAGTTTGCAACCTGAAATGTCCAAGGTGTGGAGGTGACTCAGGTTTTTGAAGTTGTTGGACAATTTGTTGTTCTCAAAGGAGTTGCCTGCCATCTTCAGCACTCGCAAGGAATTCAGGCCACAGAATGTACACTGGGATTTAACATGAGTTCTGGTATGGGAAATGTCAAGGTAAATGAGTTTCTGAAGGGATAGGAAGACAGGGTAGGAGCCAGGACCAAATAACTTTGTGTGCTGAAAGTCCAAATACAACAAGTTCTTCACGTTAGTGAAATCTCCAGTCACGCTGATGTCTGCATTGAAGCTGAGGTTCAAGTGCTTCAAGTTGGGACAGTTGTGGAACTTAGGGGAACAGCAGAGAGTGAAGGAGAGGCGATTCTCACTCAAATCTAGGACCTCCAGGTTACGCAGGCCCTGAAATGTCTTCTGGAAGCTGTTGAGGTGTTTGCTCTTGATAATGCGAAGCACTCTCAGCTCCTTGAAAAGAGACAGCTTCGTGGCAGGCACTTCCCTAAACATGCATTTCTTACACTCCAACTGCTTCACTTGAGACAACAGAGGAACCTTTGATATCTCCTCCAGCTGCAGGTCCACCAAGCGGATGCTGGAGACGTTGTGTAAGCAGTTAAAAAGAGTGTCTGTGTTATTCTTGAACCCCCTGAAAGAGATTAAGACAAACTCTTGCATTCGTACCTGGCACAGTCCACTCAGGAGCCCGCTCTGAAAGTCCACCAGTCTCTGTTTGTCACTGAATTCTCCTATTATTAGCCTATTGACCTGTAAACCAGTCAGGCCTTGAAGAGAAGAGTGCATCACATTGAAGTTCTCAAAAGAAGACCTTAAAACCAGCTCACTAAGGTGAATCTTCGCAAAGGATCCTGACTCTATGCATTTGATGTAATTCAAGGACAGCACCAGTGTGAGGTTGAGTTTGTTCACTTCCTTCAGGACATCAAGGTCTCCTCTGGAGATATATGTGATCTTGTTAGAGAAGAAGCTCAGGTGCCTGAGAGAGGTCAGGTTGGTGAAATACTTGGGAAGCTTCAATGAAGCAATGCTGTTGTGGCCCACATTCAGCTCCTGCAGGGTATGCAAGTGGCCAATAGGTAGGTCGTTCAGAGAAGTGATGTTATTTTCCACCAGCACTAGCTTTCTCAGGGATGTTAAGCCATAGAAGGCTGCTGGTCCCAGGTCCTGGAAGGGATTGCCAGTTAGAATTAAGGTGGAAAGTTTATGAAGACCCTTAAAGGAGTTATCTTCTATTGTCTGGAGGTGGCACCTGTGGGGCAGGAAAAGATAGTAAAAGTGCATGAAACACTGTCTCCTTCATGTTCACTAATGCTGCAGGTTTAAGTGCTGGTGCAATGTTCTCAAGCTCAGTCTCACCATAGGGTTGGCTTGGCTTTTCTGAATGTGCAAAGGGAACCTTTGAACACCAGGAGAGCCCCTTCACCTCCTCCTCCCTCTTGAAATCTGAACTTCAATTGCAAAGCAAGAGACCTCGAGCAGTGGTGAAGGTAAAAACTTCATGCAGGCAGCAGGAAAGAATAATTTATGCCAAAGGAACATTGTGATGAGCATCGCTGGTGGCAGAGCCAACCAGATAAAGCACTCCCTTACACCTTGTACCCTCACAGCCTTCAGATTGTTGACTCAGCCACATCTGGGCAGTTCCAGTGGCACCAGCATGATACAGCAGTGGCAAAGCTCACCACTCACACAGTATCGCAGTATGCTAGAGACTGGAAGGGACCTCGAAAGATCATCTAGTCCAATCCCCCTGCTGGAGCAGGAACACCTAGATAATGTTACACAGGAATGTCTCCAGGGAAGGAGACTCCACAACCTCCCTGGGCAGCCTGTTCCAGTGTTCCGTCACCCTCACTGAGAAGAAGTTTCTTCTCAAGTTTAAGTGGAACCTCTTGTGTTCCAGTTTGCACCCATTACCCCTTGTCCTATCATTGTTTGCCACTGAGTAGAGCCTGGCTCCATCCTCATGACACTCCCCCTTTATATATTTATAGACAGTAATAAGGTCACCCCTCAGTCTCCTCCAAACTATAGAGACCCAGCTCCCTCAGTCTTTCCTCATAAGGGAGATGCTCCACTCCCTTAATCATCTTCGTTGCCCGCGCTGGACTCTCTCCAGCAGCTCCCTATCCTTCTTGAACTGAGGGGCCCAGAACTGGACACAATACTCCAGATGGGGTCTCACCAGGGCAGAGTAGAGGGGAAGGAGGACCTCTCTCAACCTACTAACCACCCCCCTTCTAATACACCCCAGGATGCCATTGGCCTTCTTGGCCACAAGGGCACAGTGTTGGCTCATGGTCATCCTGTCGTCCACCAGGACCCCCAGGTCCCTCTCCCCTACACTGCTCTCTAACAGGTCGTTTCCCAACCTATACTGGAACCTGGGGTTGTTCCTGCCCAGATGCAGGACTCTACACTTTCCCTTGTTATATTTCATCAAGTTATTCCCTGCCCAACTCTCCAGCCTGTCCAGGACTCCCTGGATGGCAGCACAGCCTTCTGGCGTGTCAGCCACTCCTCCCAGCTTAGTGTCATCAGCAAACTTGCTGATAGTACACTCAATTCCCTCATCTAAATCACTGATGAATATATCAAATAATACCGGTCCCAGTACTGACCCTTGAGGCACTCCACTAGTTACAGGCCTCCAACTAGACACCGCCCCATAGACTACAACTCTCTGGCTTCTCTCCTTCAGCCAGTTCGCAGTCCACCTCAGTACCTGATCATCCAGTCCACACTTCCTCAATTTAGCTGTGAGGATGCTGTGGGAGACTGTGTCAAATGCTTTGCTGAAGTCAAGGTAGACCACATCCACCGCTCTGCCATCATCCATCCACCGTGTTATTTCCTCATAAAAGGCTAAGAGATTGGTCAAACATGACTTCCCCCTGGTGAAGCCATGTTGACTGCCCCTCATAACCTTTCCCACACGCCATTGTCCAGACTGGTGCCCTATAAAACCAGCTGTTATCAAAGAATCCAAAGCCCTGCCTGTAGCACCAGTTTCGAAGCCAATTGTTTATGAACTGAATCTTCCCATTCCTTCCCACATCATCAGTGGAAGATGGAAGGAGTGAGGAGAAGATCACTTGAGCCCCAGACTCTTTCACCATCCGCCCCAAGGCCCTGTAGTCTTTCTTCATCCCCCTCAGACTGCAGGAAGCAGCTTCCCCCCCACCTGTCTGGAAGACCAGCAGTGGGTAGTAGTCTGTCGGGTGCACCAGGTTGGGGAGCGCCCTAGTGGTATCCCTGATCCGGGCTCCAGGCAGACTACACACTTCCCTATGAAGAGGGTCAACTCTGCATATCGGGCCCTCTGTTCCTCTCAGAAGGGAATCCCCTACTACAATGACCCTTCTTTCTTTCTTAACAGAGGCAGTCTTGACGTGCGAAGTCGACCCCCTTTTCCTATGTGCCCTTGTGGGCTGGCCTTGCCCCACATTCTCACCTACCTCTCCTTCAAGATCCAGGGCCTCGAACCTATTACGGAGGGACACCTGGGGAAGCAGGGCAGGAAGGGGGGAGGGTTTCCCACGACGCCAAACCAGAACTCGCTTCCAACCCTCGTCGTCGTTTTGGTCCCCTACCTCTGCGCAACAGCTACAGGGCAGGGGCTGTCTCGGGCCATCCCCCTCTGTGTGAGAAGGCAGGGGGTCCTTCCCCTTTTGGGGGGTATCTCCCTGGAACCGTTCCGACTGGCACGCCAGGGAGTTACTCCACCAGTCGATCTCCCTTTCACACTCCCTGATGGTCCTCAGCGTCTCAACCTCCTCCTTAAGTCTTGCCACCAGGCTAAGCAGATCTTCTACCTGCTCACACCTCCCGCAGGTGGAATGCTGTCCTCCCTCCCCCGGCAGCAGCAGGCTCTGGCACTCCCTGCACCCAGAGACCTGAACAGCCACGGTTTGGGACGGGGTCTCTGAGTTGCTGCAGTCACCTTACTGCAAGCTCTCTGTCTGGAGGCGACCATATTGGTCCGCAGTCGGACACCAACAACAGGGTCAGCAACACGACCGGCTCCTTCCTCCCTGCGCCCGGCGGGCAGCGACACCGCCGCCCTCTCAGCGGCTCTTTCAAGGCAAGGGCAGGGGAGTGGTCACCGTCACCGGGAACGCCCCCGCCACGTCAGCCGCTCTCTCGCAAGGGCTGCTGGGGCTTCGGGGGTCGGGAGATGTCGGGAGTCGCGATATGTCGGGAATCGCGATATGTCGGGAGTCGCGATATGTCGGGAGTCGCGATATGTCGGGAACCGCGATGTCTCTGCGCTATCCCCTCGGATTTTCCTATCTCCGTTGACCCTCGCGGTCGCTGGAGCGTGCCGGCTGTGGCTGTAGCTAGGCTAGCTCCGATCAGCTGACTGAATCACTCTGTTTTGTTACCTGGAGGGAATAAACCCCAGGCCATGTTTCTAAATGAGATAAGTTGGGAAGAAGAGGGTGGCCACATGTTTTCACATGGGAAGATTCAGAATTTGAGACCCAAATCCATTCCACAAGGGATTGAAGCAAAATTAGTTTCATAATCCAGCCATTCCCTTACAGCAAGCTTAAGTTACAGCCACTTCAGAGCTGTAACTGTGATGGGACTGAGTGACACCTTTCAGTGAAACAATTTACCCAGAGAAACTGCTGTCACAAGTCAATGGAAATGATGCATCAATTCATATTTGCCAATAAGCCTTCTCCATCTGCTCTCACAAATATGTGAGGAGAAGGGAAAATAGCCTTCCACTGTCTGAAGGGGGTTACAAGCATATTGGAGAGGGACTCTTCATCAGGGACTGTAGTGATAGGACAAGGAGTGATGGGTTCAAACTGAAACGGGAAGTTCAGATTAGATCTAGGGAAGAAGTCCTTTACTGGGGGGATGATGAGGCACTGGCACAGGGTGCCCGGAGAAGTTGCAAGTACTCCATCCCTGGCAGTGTTCAAGGCTAGATTGCGCAGACCCAGCTGTGCACAGAGGGTGTGCACTCAGTGACTGGCCTCAAAAGCTGCACATCACTTGGCCATGGGGATATGCAAGAGGCAGGCACAGGGATAAATCCACATGGAAAGAACAGCCAAGACCAACAGACCCCAAAATAAGCAACCACAGCAGCCCAGCTGAAGCAAGATAAACCACATAAAAGAACTCATTACCTTGTAAGATCCAGAAGCTCCAGTTCAGGGACTGACACAAAATACTTTACCCTCAGTGATTTCAGGTTGCTGAAACTGAGATCCAGGTTCTGGGTGGTATTTGGGACTTCAGAGGGGACTCCAGAGATGTTCAGTCCCATGCATCTGAAAGCTTTGGTAGGGATGACCTGTAACAGTGGCAGACCCAATCATGGTCAGCATCTGCTCTTCATGAAGTGCTAGCAAATGACACTGTCAGGAAAGCAGGAGCAGAGTGACTAACCTTGTAGTTAACTTCTAAGTGAGCTGCCCTGAGCTTTATGATATGATCTTATATATCCTAAGCACCTTCCCCACTCCTAATAGAGCCAGTCCTGCTCGCCAGGAAAAGCTACATTCCTTGATGACTGAAGCAAGTGCAAAACTACAGGATAGTGTTCCTTGAGGCTGCGGATGACCCAGCAGCAACCTTTGAGAGAGCCAGCAAAACAAACACACAAGGGTGCATTCAGGATCAGCTGTCAGCTTTGTTACACCGCAGATAGGAAAGCAGCACAAATCACAGCTATTCTGCAAGTAGCAATTATTGGCAAAAGCTTGCAAAAGGCAGTTGATCAGTGCCAGGTACTTGGGGTACTGGTGAAATCACTCTAGGGCAAAAAATCAGGCAAAAAAAATAGTGTATTTTGCAGAAATTACAGACAAGGCTTGAACCTCTTCCAAAGGAAACCTAATCTATTAGATTAACTGTACTGCAGTAACCTCAGAGGTACAGAAAGGCAACAAGAAGAAATGCTTCATGCCATTGGTTCTGGCTCTCAGGTGTTTTTGAGACCAGCATTTACCTCAAAGACTTCAATTGCCTTGGGGGCAAACTTGGAGAGAAGATGGGCTTGTGTCAGAGAACTAACACCCAACAGACTTGATGCACCGATTTCCCAAGCCGAGGGAGAAGTTGCACCAGAGAAACAGAAGGAGTTTGTGCCTATATAGAGACCACGTACCTCCAAACAGGGGCTGGGAAGGCAGCCCACCAGCTGCAGCAGCACCACCAGTGTCCACAGGGGAAGAGCTCTTCTCCTGGGCATCTTCAGGAGGCCAGGAGTGCAGGAGAAAGCAGCATGGGTATCACTGCAGGACCTGGAGAGGGGAGCCCTGAAGTGCCAAGCGTTGTGTTTCACCACTCCTGCTTCTCACTGCGCGTCACTGAGAGTTGCAGAGAAGCAGGAGGGAAGTGAAACTGGTACCCCCTGGCTTCTAGACACGTGCTGAGTGAACTGCTCTTCTTGCACTGGTTTAAAGACATGTTTAACTAAAACAACTGACAAACAACATGAAGGGAAGGAAATCATGAAAAGTATAATTTGGACTAGAAATGAAAGAGGAATAGGGGTTGTATCAGTGTCACTTGGTTGCCTCAGATTAAACTGGAAAAAACGAGGAAACTTCTGTGAGATTCTGAGTTCAATTTCAGCAAATCCATGCTTCACATAATTCAAATCACTGCACAGATCAATGCCTCTGTAACCCTGCCATGCTCCAAGCAGCACCACGCAGGCAAGCAGTGAAGTGCTCAGCTGTGGCAGAGGTTTTCCTGCGCCAGGTAGCAACAGGTTTATCTCCAGCTGAGCTCTTCGGAACATAACATGTAGGGTTGATCCATCTGGTTGCATCTCAGTATTGCAGTCATCACAGGAACAAGGGGCACGTGGCCACGCACAAGGACTAAATACTGGAGGTTCATAGAGTGGTGAGAACCCAGGACCTTACAGCCCTCGTCACCCTTTCCATGGGTGGTGGGTTGCTGGGGGCAGCAGCCAGGAGAGGTACAAACACCCCGGCTGGGCTCAGAGCTGCTATCTGCCCTGGTCATACCTAAATCCATTTGATGCTTTGCTATAACAGTGGGTACATCTCAACACCATCCCTAATTTACAGCATAGACCCAGCTATTGTTTCTGGAAGAGGCTTTGTAAAACCTCACAGTTGGCAAAATTAATTTAAATCCTTCTAATAAAGCTCCTGCCTTCATTTACACTGATAAATGGTGGTGCATTCATGTATCTACTCCTGGCTTTCTGTAGATAACTAAGGAGCGTTATTGCATTCTAGCCATAGGGTTGCTGGGTATTATTAACACCACAGAGACAGAGAAGTTGCAAAAATGCAGGATGAGGATGGGATATTAGCCTGGAAGTAGGTGGAATAGGGCGAGACTACTCATGGAAGTGTGTGAAAATCAGTATTAGCTATAAGATATTAATTAATTATTGGTAGATATAAGATAGAAATAGGAGGTAAAATTTCACTGACGGGGTTATGCAATGTAAATCAGTGTCTTATCTTTATTTTTGCAGCTGCAGAGATGGCAGTTAAGTGAAAGCATGGCTGCCCCATCCCTGGCAGTGTTCAAGGCCAGGTTGGACGGGGCTTGGAGCAACCTGCTGTAGTGGAAGGTGTCCCTGCCTGTGGCAGGGGGTTGGAACTGGGTAATCTTAAGGTCCTTTCCAACACAAACCAGGCTGTGATTCTGTGATAAGCTGCAATATCAGTCCTGTACCAAGGCACTGATAAAGAAAAGGTTACACTATGGTAGGAGAAAGGGGGACAGATTGGATTTCTTTGGCAGGTCAGTAGAGTGTCACTGAGACATGGGGAAATCCTAACACAACAGATGATCTCTGCACTGAAAACTATGTGGCAGCACAATGGGAACCAAACCTGACACCCTGATGTACAACAGAGAGTGCCCATTCAGCAAGCAGAGCAAAAAAAGTTTGTTGCAATTGAGCAAGTTCTCCGAACTCCCTGTTCTGAAAAGGCTCTGGTAATTGCAGGTATTGCCTTTTCAGATGGAATCAGGAGTGAATGGAAACAATTGCTGACTGCTTCTGTGCCTGGATTAAGGAAATTGGCAGAGCATCATGTGTCTGCAGAGAGGACAAATGAGTGCATCTTTTAGTATTCAATATGCAGAATGAAGCAATCCACATTTAATTTGTATCTAAAGCTGAGATGAGCCTGAAGTATTCTCTAGAAATTACCATTTCAATGGGAGCTCACTGAAGATGCTGGAGAGTTTGGGAGCATCACAGAATCTGTCCAACAGAGGTCAAGTGGAAAGTGCAGCTTGAAGGACATTGAAAGAATGTGCTGCTTCCATCACAAGGAACAGTTTCACAATACACATCATCACTTTTTCAAGGACAAATCACACAGAAACTGCAAGGGATGGGGCACAAGCAGAAAACATGCAAGCTAGCAAATCAAACCCAGCTTAGGAACTCAATGCTGGTTAACTTCATATTCTTCAGCTTGCATACAACAATGTGCAATGCCTGCAGAAAGCCAAAATGTCTATGTAATTGCCTCTTTCGGTTCCCAAGAAGCAAAAGTATTATTTGGAATCCTTTAAAGTGACAAGAATAACATCCTAAATGAAACATGATTCACTGTGATGGGAATTTGCTGGTGGGATCATTAAAGATCTCTTAGAAAGGAGGTGTTAGAGAAAATATGTGTTTCTAAAAACACATGTTCAAGTTATCTTTGTCCTCCTGAACATGATTATAAGTAACATAATGGTAGACAGCATATACTAACCTCTATGATCTCAAGAAAGACATTACATAGTGTAAAAGGACCACAATGTAGGTGGACTGACAAAAACATCTTGTACTTGCTTATATTAAAAGAAAATAACTTGTGAAGTCGAGTCAAAAAGAAAAGTTAGCTAAGCTCTTGGACAAGACAACTGGTGATAGCCATAAGAACAGATAGGGCTGATGTATCTATGGTGGCTTCACTCCTAAGCCAGTACCACATGTAGATGAACAGCTGTTAGTCAGAACATATATTTGACTCAGCAGTCATCCTAAGCAGTTCCCCAAATCTATCTGCAAATGGAGACCAAGGAACACAGCAAGAACTGTTTCAGGATTAAACAAACCAGGTGTTACTTTAAGTGGAAGAGCCATCTATAACAACTATTTGGTTGTGAGCCATGGATCAGGTGGCAGAGAGCATTCCTGAGATGCTGGCATATGATGGCTTGGCTTGCGAAGATTTGGGAGGGGCTTTAACCACACTTACTACAAACACGATGACCAAGGGCATGTGGGATATGCAAACCTGGTTGGAAAAAAGGGTGCTTAGGCAATCAGAAAGTGTCCAACCAGGACTGTCATCTCCTGAGCAATCTCAAGCTACCCATGCACTGGTCTGCCCACATGCAGAGTTGGATCTGCAGCTTCCCATGCACATTGTCACCTGCTGTTTCGACCCTCGCCTGTCCATACAGACAAGTGGGTGTAAGCCCTTCCAGCCTGCACAGTGGATTTTTTAGGTGAGGCCCCATCCTTTACACCTGAGGTTTAACCACCACGGCCTAGCTAGCTCGGATGGTGACAGCAAAGTCCGCAGGTCGTAGGTTTTGTAAGTGTCTTTCTCTTCGATGGAAGACCATACAAGGCTAGACGAGCTCCATCAGCCCGGGTCTGAAGATAGGAGTTTTCCTTCTCCTATCAGGAAGGCCTGTCTTTGCTAATGAAGATTGAGGAAGGGATTTAACCCACACAATCTGAACAAGACTGTCATTACCTGGGTCAATCTTGAGCGACTGATGATGCAACAACATCAAGCCTCTAAACAGGATTCTGACTTAGAGGTGCTCAGTCATAAGCCACAGATGGTAGCCCCGCGCCAGTGGCTCCTCAGCCAAGCGCACGCACCACGGGTCTGAACCTGTGGTTCCTCTTGTGCTGAGCAGGATTACTATTGCAACAACACATCATCAGTAGGGTAAAACTAACCTGTCTCACGACGGTCTAACACAACACAGTATATGGGGACCACCACAAGAACTTCCAGAAGTGCTTGAGAAGCTCAGGTGTGCATTCAGGCTACCCCAGCTGACCCAATACTGCTCTCAGATTTGCAGCACTGGCCATATGTGCCTTCCTAACTAGCACACCATCAGCTAACACAACTCAGCTTAGCAGTCACGTAAGTTGTGACTTAAATCAGGTCACATTGCAGCTGCGGTCTAGGTTCAGGGTGTGTAGACAGTTACTGAGTCCTTGAGGTTAAGCTGACAATTGCCAGTCCTTGTAGTCAGTAGGTCACTCACCTGCCCAAGCCTGAAAGGAAAAGCAAAAGGTAATGTCTCAAAACTTAAATAGTACATTGAATTTTCCCAGCCATTCTGATGGGAAAAACAGTTTGTATCAATCACAAGGAAAAAAATGGGGGGGGGGGAATATAGCTTTGAGATCCTTTCGCTGCAAATTCCACAAATGCATCGCTGCTTCCTGGAATGGGTGAGTCACCAGCTCACACAGCGACCGCAGGCTGATCTGGATAGAGACAGTGCTGAGCCACAAGCACCCTGCACTACGCCTAGTGCACTCATCACGACAGGTCCCTAGCACAGTGCCTTGGTGCCTGTAACTCTCACTTGTGATGCTTCACCATAGGAATTGGATGTAATAATCTCACACTTGATGGAAGATCAGCCTGGAAGACCCACTGCCTCTGCTTGTACCTCTGAAGAAGAGAACCACATTCAGATTGAGAGGAGCTCTGCATTTAGTTTGGGGTGTTTAGACAGCTTCGCTGCTGTCTGCCTGAGCAGTGATTGACTCTAGTTACAGATCATTTAACTGCTAGTTTCAAAGCAAGGAGCATCAGTAATGCAGATTGCTTGTCATGCCTGTGACTGGAAGTGACAGGGAAGGACACAGAGGTGGAATCACAGTTTCTACATGCCGTATAGCAGAGACCAAGCCCCAAGCCCATTGCCAATGGTGCCACCTAAACCAGACAGAACCCAGCATAGCTATAGTGTTTCCCACTGCAGAAAAGGACAGATACTGGTGTACAAAGGGGAAAGAAAACCCCCAAAAGCTGACATCCAAGTTAGTTTGATGAAAAGCAGCCAAGCCTACACTGAAGTAGGTAATGTGTGTCATCAGATGGGCTATTCCCCAAAGCCAAGGTCATATGAATACCCCAGAACTATTCAAAAGCTATTAGGGAAGAACTGTGTCAAGTAACCAGGGACAAATATACAACTAGAAGAAGTGATTAATCAGTGTCAAGACAGTCACTATCTGTGGCAGCTACTCCATATGGACTATGTCAAGTCAGTTAGGAGCCCTACATTCTACTGGTCAATGTTTGATCTGAATGGTTGGAAGGATTTGACACAGATGGTGGGAGCATCCAGACTTGTTTGCCAAGCATCCACAGACAGGCAGAGAGTGACACTGGAACCCCCTTGACTCCTGGAGAGGGGCAGGCTGGCACCAGGAAGCCCAGCAGCTCCCTCCCCTTCTGCTTTGGATGAACCATGGT